CCATTAGCGAGTTAGCCTACTGCTTTATTTCAGCTTCTGAATGAATATATCACACAGCCAAGCATGGAAGTATGCTGATATTTTAACACAGTACAGCCACACAACATCAATATCAATTTCACGAACTTGTGGCGACACATCCTGTTTTGGTAACCGGATATTTCAGAATAAAAGTCTGATTTAATTCAATTCATATACAAAACAATCTTTTGTGTGGGAACGCAAAACAATATTGCGAGGTAACGCAAAAGTATTGCGAGGAAACGCAAAAGGAAAAAAAAAATCCCCCATGTCCCCTTGCGGGCTCCGTAGGAAGTAACTCTTATTAGTTCAACTTGAAGAAATTATAAACTATCACTCAATTTACCAACTTCTAACTCATATTTATCGTGTATTCATAAWTACTATGCACAGAATTATAAAGCTAAAGGAAACTAAGGTTTTAAGGAATTTGAAATCTCTAAATTCAAATGTTTTACAAGAGTTCATTGTTATTGTTTATGTGGGCCATGCACATGCGCTCTGGAATCCTGTGGAACTTTTATTTGCTCCAAGGGGATTTCTTGTTCGCACAAGTAACCGCACAACGGAATTTTGCTGTTTTATTAAATTTTGATTACTACTTAATATAGAGTGTACCAGAGATGGGGACTCGTGACTCGGACTTGGGTCGCACTTAAGTCCCTACTATTAAACTTGACTTGGACCCTAAAGACTTGAGACTTGACTTGGACTTGTGGTTTGAGACTCGTGAACAATGCAAGTCATTTCACTGCCCGGCTCACGATTCTCACTCCCTCGATACACATCCATGCTCCGCTCCTTTGAGAACGAATACATAAAGTTTTAAGAGCAAAGACATTTACTCCTGCTCTCACATTGGAAAATATACACTATTGATTAAAGTCAGAATAATTCTTCTACTACACACTCCGCTCACCCTCACCTGAGAATGGGAGGRGCCAGCGCCGTACAATGTTAATGACGTGTACTCTATGACAAACGGAGCTTCAGCATGGCAGGTGTGTTGCAGTGGGCAGCTCCACTGCCATTCATTATAAGCTTTACTTACAGACTTTATTCAACACCATGACAAGAGACTGGCAAAATGCAAAGTGTGTGGAGTCCAAATCCAAAATTTGTTTTTGTGATGACTTGTGCAGCCCTTTTACTTTAAGGATTCTGGTTCATCATCTTCACTGACTTGCTTTTATGCACTTAAAAAATTATGGTATTTTATTGTAAAATCAGCAGCAGACTTGTTGGATTTGTTCTTTGTCAATGGCGAGATATATACGCTTTTGTAAGATTACAAGTGCAAAATACAGTTAATACTCTCTAAATCAGGGGTGGGCAATCCTGGTCCTCGAGGGCCGCAGCCCTGCATGTTTTACTTTTTTTCTCTGCTCCAACACACCTGATTTGAATGAATGGGTGATTTTCAGGCTACTGCAGTATGGAGGACCTAAACTGACATAATTAAAAATAAAAGCATAAATATATAAATTGATTAATAAATCAATAAATACACTTAAAGTGCACCAATATAATTCAAAAAGGAGACAGACAGACAGCTAAATTAATAAATTCAATTAAAATGTGCCAATTAAATTAAAAAAA